TACAAAAAAGATATACAATATATAGTAAATAAGTAACACTTGGCAGATAAGGAAAAAAACTTGTGTAATAGAAGTAAAAGATCATGTTAAGTGAAGATGATGATTGTATTGTGTAAAGTAAAAGAAATATAAATATTACTTATCATGTTTATATTTATTTATAGTTCATGTAGAGAAATTAGAAAACTTTGCTATGCAGTATTTTAAATTTAAAATATTTAGAACTTGTGCAGGAGAATTAAAAGTTCATATAAGGAAACTAGATCTTTGTATATGAGAAGAAGATGTTCATAAAGAAAAAATGTGAACTTGTGTTATTTTCTTGTATGATATCTTTGTGTAACTCAAAATATACTTTTGTATAATATTGTATAACCCTAGATCACATAACTACACCACACTTTCATCAGCCAATCAGAATATTCCTATATAATTACATCAAATATACTATCTAAATAAATAATAAACTAATATATAATAAAAATAATATTTTAACTATATAAAAATACAAATATCTACTTAAAAAAACATAAAAGTTCACAAGTACATATTCTTTCTAACGATTCTCTGGTCAACAACAACAAAAATCAAACTACAGCAAAATATATAAAAAAGCAACAAAGTAGATACTAAACTTGGTTCTATAAGTAGGAGCAGCTTGTAGGCAATGAAGTCTAAGTGTCTAGAAGTAATACACTGAGAAGCGGGTATCAAAAGAATGGATGGTTTTCTTTGGGGTCAAGTTTTTTTTCTTTGACGGACTTCCTAAGATATTCAGTATCCAAACCAGAAGTGTTATTCTAGAAACAAGTCTGTAAAAGTAGCTAATATGCACTCTTAAGTTGGTAGAAATGGAGAAGCTAAACTATACAACTATAAAATTTACAAGAAGAATCTCACATATACTTATTGGCTAACTACTTTTTTTCAAAGAAATTTTTGTAAAAAGTAGATGTTTTAGCTTACCCCTCCAAATAATCGACATCATGTGTACTAAACAAGTTGATATTGTTTATTTTCTAAACCAGAACAGAACAACAAACATATGTATACATATATCTCAAATGCAATGGATATCTATACAAATGATGCTCTGATACTTAGCTTCAACCTCTCTACAACTAAGCTAGTCAATGAAGTTGTTCCTATCAGGTTTTTACTTTGATATACTAGATAGATAAATGTAGAAGTAAAGACTAATTTGTCTAGTATCTAATATATAATTTTTAAACTCTAGCACGAGTTATAGTGCAGTCAAGACTCTCGCATTTAATAGTAGTTCATTAATTTGTATAGTTAGAAGTTTTTGCCTGGTTAGCAGGTTTTCTTTCTAGCAATAGTTTTTTTTAGGTTTTAGTTTAGTTTTTTTATTTCTTAATATTAGTATCTGTTTTCTTTAATGTATTAGTTTTATTTTTTATATTTTTTTGTTTTCCATTATCACTTTTTTTTTCTTTTTTTTCTATGAAAAAGTGTCATCAGATTGGTGATATTCTATTGTAGAACAGAAATCTTGATGAGGTAGCGCAACAGCCAGTCAATGAATCTGAGGGAAATAAGTCCAGAGTAAGTTTCAGATTTCTGAAAGAGATCAATCATTCGCTAGGCAGGTCACATCACAGTGGTTTAATGGTTCACTATAACTGCAAGTGGATATTACAGCATCTGCAAGATAAAGCCATAGATGAGTTTATCTTTTGGTCAAAATACTATAGATTTAGATTTTTTTATGTAAGGATAAAAGTCTGTTTCTAGAATAAAGTAAACAGGATTGCTAAAGGAAAAAAAATAAAAATACAAATATCAAATAATAATAACTAAAAATAACTAAGTAAAATTTATACTAAAATCTACTTTATGACAATATATAATTTATAGATATGTTATATATATTAGAGTAGCTATGCAATATGTGATACTATGCAGGACTAGTATAATCATATATAACATATAAATTTGGACTATTTGAAAGTTATTGATAAAGGATTTTAATACTCATTAAACAGACAAAACTTAGAAATATACCATAATTATAGTAAATGCTATATATCTAAATATTATTTTTTAGGTAATGATGCAGTATAAATTTTTTAAAGTTAGTTCTTTTTAGTGTTAGGGGTAGTGTTATTGGCTAGAGAAGGGTAGTTTGCATAGTAAAATTTCTCAACGAAGTGATTTTTTATGTAGAATTGTGAAAAGTAAGTGATAAACATTTGTTTTGAAATTTTTTGATAATGTTATATGCAACTGTTATTTATAGTTAAAGCAATCTGCATATACATTCAAGAGGTGCAAAATCAGATGTAATAGAAAAATTCAAACCAAATGGCATATTTCATCAAAAATCACTTTTTTCTTGAAAAATTGCATATATAACTACTCTTCATACACTGATTAAAAATTTTCCTTAAGCAATTTTATTATATATCTTTCTAATTTTTAAATTAATAATAGTCTTAACCCTAATACTAAAATAAACAAAATTTAAAAAATTTGACTGCACCACAAATCTGGCACACATTCAAGTTATATTCTGATTTTGAAATCTGATTCATAGCTCAGGCAATCAGCACCACAACACATCAAAGAACTGCATAGATTATAAATAATAATGACATTAATTATGAAGATCAATTAAATTATTATGATCTCGGTGCTTACCTTAAATGACTATTATCTTATATGATTATTATAATAATACTTAAATAAGCAAAACATGATAACTATAACACTTTCTAAAATAGGAAAAAATATAATGCACCAAAAAGTTGAACAGAACCATCTCTCCATATTTCATATGATCGTACTGGTATATAATTTTTATGTCTTTATATAGGCCAAAGTACAATTATTTTAGTTTATACCAGACACATTCTATATAAAAACTACAATCATATAGAAAGCATTCTAGTTAGAAAAGTGTCAAAACTCAGAAGACTTTTTAGAAGGAGGAAAAAATTTAAAATTATATATAAAGACCTGATTACAATATATATTAAGAGAGAGAGAAGGGGATAAACTTCTAATAGAAAAAATCAAATGATAAATAATATGGCCCTTAGCAGATACCAATTTGTTAGATAGGTTATTTAGTTTTATATTTATGTTTTAAACTTCTATTATTAATTTATTTGTTTTCTTATTTGTTTGTTTTAAAATATCTCTCTTTTTATATTTCTTTTTACTCTACTTTATTCTTTATAATTTTTTGCTAGAGAATGTTTCTTTATATTGGTAATATTTTATATAGGGTAGTGATTCTACAAGGCTGGTGGCTGACTATTATAGACTTCTGGGGTTTAAATCCTTAGTAAGTTAAAGATCCCAGATGAGAAAATTAGGCCACCTAGGTGGGTCGCACCTGGGCACTCTTTGACAGAATCTAGTATAGAAACTTGTTTTAAAGAGCCGAGTGATTCTTTATTAGTACAGGCCAATATAGGAATGTAAAGTAGGTTAGCCTCTATTGCACGCCTATGTCGATTAAAATAATAAAGGAAGGAGCCTATGTCGATTAAAATAATAAAGGAAGGATCGCTGAATTGCAAAAAAAAAAAAAAATTTCAAAATATTTCAATATTGCGAAATATTTGAAATACTTCGAATAAGCTATCTCAGTGACTATCATTATAACCGGAATAACTTGCCAAACAACTTTACGTAGCACAACTTTGCGCAATTACTTAATATATTTGGAAATCTTTTAAATTCTTTCGAAATATTTCATGCCAATCTCGAAACATTGTACTTAAAATTTGCTGATGTAGCTATACTTTATTCAACCCTTAAGTCTAATCTATCTTGCTTTTCAAGTTATATACATGTTTTATACTCTAGTGTAAAGTCATATAAAGTTAATTTTTGGTTCTCATAAAATTAAAAGTGACTAGCACTCGGCTTTAATTTTATTTTCAAGCCCATTATACACCAACTCTATATTTTTTTCTAAAAATTTTTGCTTAATTAAGTTTAGCCCGTTCGGGTTAGAGAAGCAAAAATTAACTTTGCATGGCCTAAATTAAAAAATGTTTTGAATAAAATCTGGTTTAAAAAAAAAAGGTAAATGATCTATAATACAATAAATAAACTTAAGAAGCAGCAGCAGCAGCCTCTGCTTCTCGTTTTTGACTTAATTTTTGCATCCATCTGGAATAAACTATGGTAAATAAAAGTATACAGCCCGTCCAACTACCAATAACAACATTTCCAATATAAACAGTTTCATCAATCGTTTTTGTTTTGTAAATAATAAGAATACGGACAGGAACATCAAGAAGTAAACCAAAACCCCAAACAGCGGTCAAGACGATAAATGTACGTCGAAATAAAGCATAAGATCTCCAATATCTCTCATATCGTTCAGGAATAGGTTCATCTTCAGTTAAACCTTTAAGATTACCTATTTCAAGATTTTTACAATTATAATATAATAAGGGACGCATTTGAAAGGAGCCGATTTTTATCGAAATTAAAGTAACAATAAATATTAAAGCAAATACACCAGTGATAAATGATTCTCGTAATAAGAATAACTTTGGATCATCTTGAAACAAAGATAATATAGTTCCAGCAACGAAACCGACTATACAGAGTATTCCTAAGATGTTGGCTTGTTTGCGAATGATAAAATTAAGGATAACAGAAATAATAGGTGGGATACCTGATATGACTAATGCCCAAATAGTGGGGATATATTTTGAAAGAATATAATATAGGAGGATTGGTAAGCCGATATCAACAAATATCATTAATAAAGGGAATAACAATCTTTTTATTTTATTTATTTTATTTTTTTGGTCAGAATTAGTTCTGATTGTTGAAGACGCCAGTGGTTCTGATGTAGTTGAAGGAACGGGGGATTCTACTGCCGATGAAGAAGCCGAGTCTCTCAATGGTAGAGTTACATGATCCTCGTTATCTGTTCTGTTTGAGCCTGACATCCTATTTTTTTTTTTATTTTCTAAAAGATAAGAGAGTATAATTACAAAATATTGCGTTGCAAATTCGACACCATTAACTTTTAAGTTTAAATAAACTGAAATGCGAAACAACCGGCATTCTATCCATTTGGTACAGGATTTGGAGGACCCTAACGACTAGTCATACTAGATTCCGTCGTAATACCTACTTTGGAAAAAAGATGGAGGAATGATCCGAATTGTCTACGCAGATACAAAAAAATCTATATTTTTAGAATAAAGTTATTTTTGATATGATTCGAGAAAATTCCAAAGAAAATTTGTTTCGCCATGATAACTATTATAGGACACATTGTCAGTGAAGCATTACGTAGATGTGTTTAGTTTCTATTTTTGGAGGTCATCTAAAGCCAGGTGGTTTTTAAACTAAATAATAATAAATTTGTAAAGTAAAATCAGGTGACACATATAAATTATTACCTGGCTTTAAACGATCCTTATTTTTGGTCATCAAATAAATACGTACGTACGTATGCATGACATATACGTAAACACTGGCAGAATCTCCTAATTTCCTAATTAAATCATTCGAATATTTACTGATAATTAAAAGCAATTGTCTTTAGTATGTTTTTTTTTTTTTGATCACGTAATAAATTATTTAACCAAGAAGTTTTATACTGCTAATAAATATGTACGTCCTTGTAGAAATTTTTATTGAATTTGAAAGTTTCTTTCAAATTTTCTATATAGTTGAAATGAATAAATTGAAAAGAAGATTAATTGAAAATGTTTAATTATACTTGTACAACCCTTAAATGATTTTAATTACGTATGTTTTCCAAATTTGTAGATGTAGCTCGCCATCTTTTTGGTAACGATCTGCAATTGGAAAATTCTTTTTAATTCTATGGGGTAATTAATATAACAGGGGGAACCGTCCAATGTTACACGAATCACACTGTGATCGACATTGCACATATCATGTTGACCGATTTTCCACGTGAGGTTTTTACGGACGGATGCAACAAGTTTAATTAATTAAAATCGATCATAATTATGTAATAAGG